TGACTCAATTTGCTAAAAAATTTGTAAACCGCTTAGAGAGGGCTGAAAGCCCTATGAAGCGGTATACAAGTCTAATAATAAATAAATGATTTTGAATACATGAAATGGATACGATGTAATAAGGGAACATTAGGACAGGGACGGTAGGCACATTGGTGCGCTTATGCATGCTCCTTACAGACTTCTTAGGAATGGGGTGAGGTCAACAGTAGACAGTCTAAGGTTAAAGTTTTGAGGGTTTGGGGAAGAAACCAAGAGTCAGGTAGTGCATTCCAGGCACTAACCATTCTGTTGCTGAAGTTGTATTTTCTGCAATCCAGTTAACTTTGAGTTTGTATCTATTAATCAGTGAAACGGCTTTCCTTTAGATGTTGGGGATGCTCCATCACTGGAGGTTTTTAAGAAGATACTAGACAAACCATTTGCCTGAGCAAGGGACTAGATAGAAGACCTCCAAGGTCCCTTGCAACTCTCTTATTCTGTAATATTATGCTCATCTGAACAGTTCACTTTCCCATTTTCTACCACGGGCGTCGGGGTGTTCACGCAGGCACCCACATAGGTGCACACCTACGCAACCCACGAACCTTGTGGGACGAAAAGTCCGTATCGCCATTTTTATAAACTCTCTTGAGCCAAGACATCCCAACAACTACCTCCAAGGCGTCTGTATTCTCAAGACTAGCATGTTATGTATAAGCCGCAGCCCGGGTGGTTAAAGGTTAAAAGAATTAAAGGAGTGTCGATCAAACCCAGGAGTCAAGGTGCAGCTCCGATCCCAGGGGCAGCAACCTGCCGTCCCGAGCTCAGCCATTGTGAGAACACACAAATCCGTCCCAGCAACCGCTCCGAGGAAAGACGCGATGGAGACTTAGGACTCAGGTCTGCTTCCTTTCTTCCCGCAAGCTAATATGCCGCCCCCCCCCCCGCTTTGGCGTTGCCCCCCGTCTGGTCCCCCACCCGGTGGGTGTAGCTCTGCAGCAGCAGCCGCTTTCCCCCCTCCCTCCCCCGGGAGAAACAGCTCCTCGCCGGGGGATTCTCCCTCGCCGGGCAAGCCCTGCGCCACCCCGTCTCCTGCAACTCACATGCTGCCCTAAAGCGAAGCTCCGTCCGAGCCCCCGACGTGTCGAAGTCCTGCCCGGGCAATGCTGAGCATGCCCAGTTGTTCTTGAGCACGCTCAGACTCTTCCAATGAGGCCACTTTGCCCTTATCTGAGCCTTGCTTGCCCTGCCCTCGGCGTTCTTAAAAACACAGGCGGGATGTGACGCTCCGTTGTGGCGTAGTCGGCAGGTTGTGTGAACCCGGAGTTCTTGTTCACCGAATCAGCCAAATTAGACTCAAGTTGGGTAACTAAAATGCGAAAGTTGGCTTATTTACGTAGTTGACATTCTGATTATTGATATTATTGACACTTTGATATTGATATTGTTTCCTGGTTACATATTTGTACCCTATGGCTATCATTAAGTGTTGTACCTTATGATTCTTGATGAATGTATCTTGTCTTTTTATGTACATTGAGAGCATATGTACCAAAGATAAATTCCTTGTGTGTCCAATCACACTTGACCAATAAAGAATTCTATCTAAAATTATATCTTTCTTTCTTTCTTTCTTTCTTTCTTTCTTTCTTTCTTTCTTTCTTTCTTTCTTTCTCTCTTTCTATCTGATTATGCGCCATTGAATCGTTAACTTCCAGTGACTGCACAGGTTTTCTCCAAGTTATGTTCTCTAGCTCTAAATAAATAATCAAAAGTTTTCAAGTATCCCCGAGGGCTTGAAACAGGTTACATTTTTGGTAGTTTCTTTTTAAATTGACATCCATGTCTGAAATGGTATAGGGTCTCATGCTTGAGCCAGGGGGTTGGACTTGATGACCTCCAATGTCTCTTACAACTCTGGTATTTGGCTATTGTTCAAATTCATCACAGTGAAATTAGTGCTCAGATGAGGACAAAAAATGGAATTGCACTTATCATACTGACCAATGGTGAGCCTATATACTTACTCATTTCTAATCACTGCTGTTTTGAAAAATATTAGATGCGAAAAAGGGCAACCAAAATATTAATGGGTTGGAGTAGCATCCGTTTAAACAAAAGTTTACATACTGTGCACAGCAACTAGATCTCTAGGTTGGAACAAAGAAACATAAGATGAAGCACGATAAAAATATTTGAAATAATAGAGAACATTTAAGGTTTCTTCTCTGTCATGCCCAATATTAGAACCCAGCAAAGTCATCCATCAAATGTAAAGAAATCCCATTCTCCCCTCCCCCAAAAGAAACATTTCCTCATAATATATAGTTAGATTGTGGAATTAGCTGCTGACAGTTATAATAACTCATTTCATGAAAGATCAGGCTATCAATGACTCCCAGTATTGATAGTTATATTTTGATATATTGATAACTTCCAGTACTGATAGCTATTTACTGTGTTGTGAATCACATCTGCCTTCAATAATACTAGCTGCTGGGAAATAAGCTATTACCCTAGGCTTGTAAGCTTGAAAATACATCTAATAGGTCCCACTAGCAGATTCCTGGATAGAATGGTATGATAGGTTGATCTAGCCTGGTTGTTATTTTCTTTAAAAGCACATAATTAACAAGGTGAATAAAGACAATGAAGTTT